TGCAAATAAGAGACTTTCACACACACACACACACACACACACACACACACACACACGCACACACGCATGCACTCTAACACTGCAAGATTGCATATTACATACCATAAAACGTTGGTGTTATCTTGCCATGCTGAGGATGGAACCCAGGGCTTTGTCCATGACAGGCAAGCACTCTACCCCTGAGCTCCAAGCCCTGGAAACAACTGTAATTTCTAATTTGGCATTGTGACGACAGGAGCAGGAGGAAGTATGACTTTGCATCCTGTATGCAAAAAGAAAAAAGTGTTGAGTAACTCCATGGCACGATGGAGAGCAGGACTTATCTACTGCTCTGTTCACTGCTTTCTAAGCCCCTTCCAGAGTGATGCTAGACTGCCAAGGACAGGAGTCTCACCTGAGACCCTTCTCCCCGCCGCCCTCCTGCTACTCTTTCCTCCACTCCGTCCTCCTCCTCCTTTTTTTCTTTTTCTTCTTCTCCTTCTTCTTGAAGTACTAGAGATTGAGCCCAGGACTTTTACACTGACCAACATCCCCAGCTCTTTTTATTTTTTATTTTGAGACAGGGTCTCACTAAGTAGATACATTGCCCGGGCTGGGCTCAGACTTGAAATCTTCCTGCCTCAGCTTCTGAAAGTTCTGGGATTACAGGCAGGCACCAGCATACCGGGCTAGGACTCCTTAACTGTTATGGAAGAGATCCAGATCTTAGGCATGCAGGGTGCAGCCAGAGTATGGGTGACCTTCCTGTAGTTAGGCTGCTCACAGTAGGATGCTCACTTCCGGAACCGGGCTCTGACTGGGCCTCGTGGTGCACACCTGCGATCCCGGCGCTGCAAGTGGGAGGTCAGCCTGGGCTGCGTAGTGAAACCCTACCCCAAAATAAATAAGTAAGTAAATAGTAAAATAAACAAACCCGGCTCTGACCAGGCCCTTTGTGGCTTCCCAACACAGAGAGCTCCCCACAGGCTTCCCGGAAGTCCAGTCTGTGGCTGATGTCGGCTCTCTGTGCCCTTGGTCGGAACGGCTGCTGGGGGGTTTCCCTGAAATCCAGGCCTGTGCAGGACAAAGCCCCCAGGGCAGCACACACAGAACAGGGTCTTCCTCGTCGGGACAGCACCTCCAAGATACCAGGCTTCATGGTTTCTAGTTTCTTAGAAAGAAACCTGAAACCAAGCCCCCCACTAGGAGGAAGCAATTGAACAAACTGCAGGGTGGTGACGGTTGCCAACCTAATACCCAGGTCGGTTTCTGAAAACCTTTTTCCACCCAAAGGAGCCAGAGCTCTTGGAGCAATGGTTGATTCTAGCCCCAGCGCAAGGAATGTACAACAAGCCCAGGACATCTTATGCCAGAAAACAAGGACCTGCTCGTAGAAACAGGGTGTGTGCAGAGGACACAGGAGGCCATCTGAGTGGGCACCCGCTGGCCAAACCTAAGATAACCCAGCCTCAAAACAAATTCTCACGTTAGCAGCTAAGAATCCACTGAGTAAAGTCTGTGTCCGTGGGTCTGCACGGCTGTAAATAAAAGCCCGGGCTGCGAGTGTACTCCATGACAGAGTTTGCTTAGCATGCACAAGGCCCTGGGCTTGAGCCCCAGCACCATAAGAAGTAAATAAACAAATGGAAACTTTGCTGGGAAACAGGGCATTTGCCTAGTCTCGAAGCAAGTCCCCGTGGAACACATCACTAACGAAGGGGACACGAGGCGCTCACCCAGAAAAGCCGGCATCCTGCTCAAGGCAGCAAGGTGCCATCAGATGCCCTGGAAGGCACCTGGGCTCCGTGGGGGCTGTGAGGGGTCATCAGACCTCAGCCGAGGGCTGCTCTGCCCAACAACTGCCACTGTGTTTATAGTTTATAAATCAAGGAAAAGGGGCCAGTGAGACTGAACCGTTAGTACATTGTGCAACTGGGGACTGTCCTGCCGTCCAGGGCGGTGCTGGTCACCCACTGAGACACAGCGGAGCTGAACGCGGTCGTACTTGCCGGTTGCGGCAGGAGGGTTACAAGTCCAAGGCCAGCCTGGACCACACAGTGAGACCCTATCCCAACAAACCAAAACTGAGTCTGAGGGTCTGATGGTGGACAACATTAATGTCTTGACTCTCATGTTTATACGTAGTTAAATGGAATTTTTTTTTTCTTTTTTGTGGTACTAAGGATTGAACTGAGGGCCTTCATGCTTGGGCTACATTCCCAGGCTTTTTCTTATCTTCTCTCTCTTTTTTTCCCAGTCTTTTTAACAATTATTATTATTGTTGTTGTTTTATTTTGAGACTGGATCTCACTAAGTTGTCAAATTGCACAGGCTGCTTTGAATTTGCAATCTTCCTGCCTGAGCCTCCCAGAGTGCGAGGGTTACAGGTCTGTGCCACCATGCCTGGACAGAATGTTCTTTTAGTGGGTACTGGGAATCAAACTCGAGTCCTTGTACTTTCTTTTTTGTTTTATTTTGTTTTTTGTTTTTTGAGACAGGGTCTCACTATGTAGTTCAGACTGACCTGGAACTCACTATGTAGCCCAGGCTGGTCTCGAACTCACAGTGATCCTCCTGCCTCAGCCTCCCGAGTGCTGGAATTATAGGCGTGTGCCACCACAGCTGGCTCTGGGTCCTTGCACTTTTGAGGCAGGCGGCAGAACCACTGAGCTAAATCCCCAGCCCTAGAATGTTCTATTTTTATAGAAAATATCAAAGTCTTCAGAGATGATGGGCATCACGTTGGCAGCTTACTCTTAAATGGAAAAAAGTTCTTTTTAATGTACTAATAACTTTCCTATAAGTGTGTAATTCACATTTTCAAAAACACTTAAATCAACGTAAAATAATATAGTATTGACCGGGGATTTAGCTCAGTGGTTCCGGTGTCTGCCTTGCAAGCACAAGGACACAAGTTCGATCCCCGGTACCAAAAGATATAAAACTAAATAAATAATAATAATAATATAGTATTAATAGTGTTACTATGTGCTGTACTGATGTGAGAAAGAGGAATCTGAATGCATACATGTATCTCCTTCTGGGGGTTTGTTTTGTTTCACAGTACTGAAGACTGAACCAGGGGCTACACACAAGCTAGGCAGGCATTTTAGCACTAAGCCATATCACCAGCCTTACTTAATTTTTCTATTTAGAGACAGGATCTTGTTATGTAGGCCAGGCTCATCTCAACCTTGTGATCTTCCTGCCTCAGCTTCCTAAATAGCTGGGATTACAGGCATGCACCACTGTATCCAGTATTTTTTTTTTAAAGGGAGAACCAACTCCCTACCTTGGCTGGATTTAGCTGGTTATTTATACAGGCTATAAAGCAATGGGGATAGATTGGACTTTTTATATATGGCATATTTGATATATAACTTACATTATAGGGTTAGCTATGTGTAAATATTTTGCAAAAAGATAAAATTAAGAATAAACCACTTAAAAACAAGATACACAAAACAAACAAATGTCTATCAATAGTGGACTAGTCAAGTAACTTTTGCTACATTCATTAATATGGGTACTATGGCCAGCACAGTGGCGCACGCCTATAATCCTAGCACTTTGGGAGGCTGAGGCAGGAGGATCACAAGCTTGAGTTATGCCTGGGCAACTTAGTGAGACTGTGTCTCAAAGTTTAAAAATAAATAAATTTTAAAAGCCAGGGATATAGCTCAGTGCGAAGGCCCTGGGTTCAATCTCCAGTACCGGGGGCAGGGGGCGGTATGCATGTGGGTGTTTATAGCACCTTCATTCACAATCACCAAAACTGAGAAACAAGCAGGCTGTCCTTGAGTAGGGACAATAAACAAACTGCAGTGTGTGCAGACAAAGGAATATCACTCAGCACTAAAAAATAAATCGATCTCAAACACACAGGGAGGAGGAGGAGGAGGCGTGGTGGTACACGCCTGTGACCCCAGCACCCTGGAAGGCTGAGGCAGGAGGATCACAAGTTGGAGGCCAGCCTGGGCAATTTAGAGAGACCCTATCCCTAAACTTCAAAAAAAATTTAAAGGACTGGGGAAGTAGCTCAATGATAGAGCACTTGCCTAGCACACACAAGGCCCTGGATTTAATCCCTGGTACTGTTTAAAGAAAAATAGCACCTAGGTTAGAGGACGGCATTTGGGGAGTCAAATAGGTAGGCGGGGTGGCTGGGAGTGGTAATGACTGTTGGGGTCCCTGCTCTGCAAGTTAGAAGTAGACTGACCTGGCCAATTGGAAAGGACTGGGAACTGCAAGAACAGGAGCTCTGCAGCGCAGGGTGACAGGCACAGGTTTTTGGGCAGTCGCGCTGGGCACACTCATGAGGATCCAGATCACTGCGGCCTCCACCCGGGCAAGAGGGTTAGGACCCCAGAGAAGAGAAGTCCCTTGCTGCGAGAGTGAATACCTTGGTGAGGCCCAGGGATGTGGCTCAGTGGCATTGTGCCTGCTTTGCAAGCGCAAGACCCTGAGTTTTGTTCGACCCCTCGTAGTGAAAAATAAATAAGAGTACCTTAGTGAGCTATGCGTGTAGCGCACGCCTGTAATCCCAGCACTCGGGAGGCTGAGGCAGGAGGATGGCCGTGAGTTTGAGACCAGCCTGGGCTACATAGTGAGTTCCAGGTCAGTCTTAACTACATAGTGAGAACCTGTCTCAAAAAACCAAAAAAAAAAAAAAAAAAAAAAGGGCCAGGGATTTAGCTCAGTGGTTCTGCCACCCAAGGACCTGAGTTTGATCCCCAGTACCAAAAAGAAGAAAAGAAAGAAAAAGAAATTCTGTCTCAAAATAAGGATAAACTTTCAAAGGGCTGGGGATGCAGCTCAATAAGAAGGCCCTGGGCCCAATTGCCAAGTCCTCTCCCAAGAAAAGCGGCTCTCACCATTCAGGTCACAGGAGTGCTGTGTGCCCGGCAGGACAGCCCCTGACAGTGGCCACATGACCTCGGCCTGAGAGTGCTCTCCCGCCCCCTTGCCTGGCGCTCACACGCTGTGAGCGGAAGTGCTGGGTCCAGTCTGTCCTCCGCCGTCACGCGGGTGCACGGACCCGTGTGGGGCTGGAGACGCCACACAGGGTCTTTGGGCAAAAGCGCACGTGAGGATCGGAGGCCCCTGGTGACAGCAGCACACCCTCTGCTTTGGGGAGCAGTGCACGGGGAGAGGCCCAGTGCCCCCTGGAGGAGCTGCGCCTGTCTCCGAGCTCCCTTCTCAGCCTCTGGCAACTTCAAAGGCCGCTTCCTGTATTGCGGGCACCACCGGCTGCAGCCCTGGATGAGCGGACGAACGTGGGGAGCAGGTGGGCACCACTGACTCCTGCGCGTTCCCTGGTGGCAAACAGAGGTAACCTGAGTCTACACAGCTGGGTACAGGCTGCCCGCACGTCCTCCCCCACTGCCTCCCTCAGTGCAAGATGGAGCGCGACAGGCCCTGCTCACAGCGTGGAGGGATGGGGTTCCAGGCTGAGGGGCCCCAATGCTTCCTGCCGCGGGTCAGTGCCAGCCCCTCACTGTTCCCAGGGCTCACCCCACACACGAGAAGTCCTGTACCACCTTGGGCACATGGTTCTAGCAGGGCTGCAGGGGCCTGAGTTTAGGGCTTGGAGGACCCCTGTTCCTCTCCCACCCTTCTGTGGCCCTGAGGGCAGGACCCCATCGTCACCCTGTCGACCCTACTTTTGCGGACACGCGGAGCCTGCATGGGGTCCCCACAGCACCCCGTGGTACCCAGGCTGACCCCCAGAGGTCCCAGAGCAGTGGCACCGGCACCGAGAGTGAGATGACTCCGGTCACTGCAGCTGGGCATTGGCCCTTCACAGACTTGGGCTCACTGGCCCCGTCTGTAAGGCAGACACCATCACCTTCATTTACCTCAGGGGAGGAAACGAGGCTCGGGACAGGTGGTGCCAGATAACGGCCCACACTTCCCACTCGATGGCCCTCTGTCCCTTTTGGCAGGTCGCTCGTGACAGCCTGAGTTTGGGTCAGGAATGGATATGGCGTACAGGCAGCGTTCCCCTTACCCCGGTCAAAGAAGCAGAGACCAGAACACGGCACTTGGCTCCGATCAGCCCAGTCAGTCAGCATGAGAGTGAGTTCTGGAAGCCCCAGTCAGCAGGCCACCTCCGCATGTCCAGGGCCCTGCTGCTCACAGGGTCCCATGGGAAGTTGTCAACTTCCACGCTCCTCACACCTCGCTCCCCAGGCCTCCAGCCCAGGCAAGCAGGCCTTTCCCCAAACAGCCAAGGTGTCCGCCTCAGTCCCAGGGGCCAGGGAGATGGGGTCTCCCCATTCTCTGGAGGAGGGGCGTCTGTCCCAGGTGCACGGGGAGGACAAAGCCCAAGGTTGGAGTCAGGAAAGCTTTCAGAAAGAAGCAGCTTTTTGGGTGGGTCCTGAAGGAAGTGTAGGCTGAGGGGGGTCAGGAGGTTCGGTGAAAGATGGGCCTGCCAAAGCTGAGGCGGGAAGGCTGGGCCCCAGGGTCAGCTTCGGGGGCACCTGGAGCCCCTGCACAGCAGGCAGGAAGAGGTGTACTTCCGGCCGCAGCAGGATAACCTTCCCATGGGGGGAGGCCTCTGACCGAGGCTTGGATTCTGGTTCCCTCAATGCCCTGGCCAGGTCATTCCCAACCCTCAGGCTCATTGTCCACATCCATGAGGTGAGGGAGGGAGGTGTCAAAGTAAATCAGAACGTTTTTAGCCTTAGAATCTGGAAGATTTTTGTTGTGGTGGTGGTGGTGGTGGTGGTGTTTTATTGGTTTGTTTTTGTTTTGGTAGAGATGCAGGGAATCCAGGCGAAGCTTGTGCTCTATCACTGGAAACATTTACTCGAAGATCTTTTTAAGAACAATGGATATAGCAGGTGTGCTGGCACATGCCCATGATCCCAACACCCGGGAGACTGAGGCAGGAGGATCACCGTGAGTTCAAGCTCAACTTGGACTACGTAGTGAGTTCAAGCCCAGCCTGAACTACATAGCCAGACCCTGTCTCCAAAACATAAATGAAAAAGAACAGTGGATATAAGTGGAGCAGCATACATAGTGGGAGAGCAGAGGGTGCCAGAGGCTACGAGCATCCCCTCCCTCCGGTGTCTACAGGGGAGGCAGTGTGTGACTACCTCTGGGTTTGGGGTCCGTCGGGCCCCCACTGTGCACACCCAGCCAGGCCCCTGACCCAGGCTTCCCACTGGTCCCACCCAGGCTGGCACTGGCCTGGGAAAGGGGACGAAGAGCTGCAGGCTAGAGAAGGAGGCACCCTCGGTTCCCAGGCCCTGGGTGTCAATACCGAGCTGTCTACACTTCTACGAGTCCTGGGCTCCTACAGCCTGTGGAAGTGGGAGTGGCCTGCCAGGGACCCAGGAGCCCTGCCTCCCTGCACACTGCATCTTCTGGGCTTCTGTGACCCGCCAGCCCAGCCACACCTTGGGGTCACTAGTGTGGGAGCCCGGCCATGGCCCTGTAGGAGTTTGACATTTAAAAGGAAACTTCTTCACCTCTACACTCAAGGCATTGATACAATCTGTAACATTCTAGGACTCTGCTTGTTAAACTTGTTGCTGCAGTGGGAGAAACTCAAGGAGACAGCCAAAGATCTGATGTTCTTTGCAAAGAGTCAGAAAATCCGGTCTTTGCATAAAAGATACAAATAGTTGCTTGGTGCTTCCTGTTGATGTGAACCTATAAAAGGAGCTGTTTCTGTGAAATAAATCAGACTTCTCTTGGTCTCCGCTCAGGCTTGAGTGTTCTTTCCTTTCTCAATCCTCACTCCCCAACTCAGGCACGTTCGTGTTGTGATGGCTGGACCGCCACACACCGGAATTCGTGAGCCTGAACCAGCCCTCCCAGAGACAGCCACCCACTGCACTACACGCTCAATAGCCGAAACCTAGGACGTCTGTGTGTGTGTGTGTGTGTGTGTGTGTGTGTGTGGCTTCCATCTGTAAAACAAACCAATACCAATGTTTTCACTCTGCATACACTTTGGCCTGGAGATACCTCTCACTGCAATGTGACCTAATGAAATTCACTTTTTTATCTGAGCAGCAAATTGGAAACTCCTTACTTGTCCTTAGGTGGGCTTTGATACATCCCAGCTGCAGGACTTCAGAACAGACCTGATGAGTCCCCAGGAGGAAACAAGGCCCCACCCCAGAAGGGCTTTCAGCCCAGCAAGGATCCCCTGTGAAGCTTCTGGATCATCTCCCCAACTTCTGACCTGGGAACCTCTGTAAGAAGTGGCTGTGAGAGCTGTGCACTTGGAGGCTGAAGCAGGAGGGTTGCCATGAGTTTGAGGCCAGCCTGGGGTACATAACAAGATTCTGCCTCGATAAATAAATAATAAATAAATAACAAAAAATACAAAATAATAATTTTTAAAAAGGACACTGGGGATGGGCCTGGGAGCCCTTGAGACTGGGTGAGCAGCCCTCTTGGCCAGGGCTTCCTCTCCTCTGTGAGCTGTCATGTAACGCAGCACTAGTGAATTCCTAGCCTTCAGATGCAGAAGAAACAGACCCAGGGTCCCCGTTTCTGCACGCTGTGCCCAGAGCTTGCCGCAGATTGCTGAAGGCGAGTGTCACATCGCCCCTGAGCGAGAGAGGCTATGGCCCCATGCTACAGACAAGGAGGCTGAGGCTGACAGAGGTCAGGCAGCTGAGTTAAGGTGACATTAGCCAGGAAGCCAGCACAGCTCTGTTTCCAGGCCTGTTCCAACAACACCAGGTCATAAGGAAACAGGAAGGTCCCTTCTGCTGCTGTTCCCTCCCTAAGACAGAAGGGACAATGTGCACCGCTTTAGGATATCCACTCTTCCTCTGGACGGGCCCCAGTCTGTTCCCAGGGGAAGCAGGGTCTTCTGGGAGGCTGGAGTAGAAAGGTGGGTTGGCTGGGAGGTAGCAAGGCCTGGTCCTCGTTGCCCATCACCCTGGGGCTCCCTTCACTGGCAGACTGATCCTCTGGGCTGGGTCTTAGTCCTTAGGCCAAGTGATCCTGCTGGCTCTGATCCTATAGGGCATAAGGGGACCCAAGGGGGGACTGACTGTCCAAGACACACAGAAGGGACAGGAGGGCAAGAGTCAGGCATCCAAAGACAGAAAGGGAGAGGAAAACAGCCAGCAAGAGCTGCACCAGAGCGATTCACTCACAGGGTGACCAAAGAGGGCACGGGGACTGCGGCTGGGTACCTGCAACTGTCAGGCGTTTTGCGGAGGGGATGAGCCCATGGTTTAGGATCCCAGGTAGAGTTGCCAGATTTAGAAATAAAAACAAAAGATTTCCAGTCAAATTGTAATTTCGGATAAACAACACATTAAAAAATGTATTTGGGACCTATTTATACTAACAAGTTCCTTGGGGGGGTTTGGCTCAGTGGCACTGCACCTGCCTGGCAAGTGCAGGGTCATGAGTTCAGTTCCCAATACCGCAAAAAGAAAAATAAAAAGCTCTCGGTATTTACCTGGCAGTCCAATCTGGCGGGCATCTGGTGCTTAACCCACACCCAAGGCCCAGGGCCTGTGCTGACTATCTGTGTATTCTGTTACGTTTGTTGGTGGTGGTGCTGGGTATTGAACCCGTGGCCTCGTGGACAAGTCCAGCACAAAGGCAGCACCAGTGTGTCTTGGCCAGAGATAGAATTAAGAAACCCAGGGCAACCTGCTGCTGATTTTCCACCAGTCTGGGAGGGGCCTAGAGAAGGGACCTGGGAGTGCAGGGGCTGGAGCTCAGGCGCTTGCTCAGATGGGTGAAATAGCAATTCCTTGTGCGGCTTTGCCTACAAAACCCTTCCACTGTTTTGTAGACCCCAATTCATTCTAGAAGGGGCTCGGCAAACTTGCAGAAGATACCAGAGGCATCTGCAGAGCCCTCACCCCAGCACAAAATGTGCGGCCCACCCTGCCCTGGCACAGGTGCCAGCTGGCTTAGAACACAGAGCCCCGAGTTCTTCTGTCCGCTTGGCCTGCAGAGGTTACTGACCCTCCCTCAGTTTCCCCACCTGTGAAGTGGGTGGAACCATGCTGACATCTGAGGCTCCTTGGGGCCCCATTGATGCCCTCTTTGATTACAAAGTGGATTGAAAGTCTTGGTGTACTTGATACAAGTAACTCTATCCTGGGCACAGATAGTTTCGCTGAAAAGCAGCCTCAGTGGCTTTTGGCCAGCCTCCCGGTCCCTCCCTCAGCGCCCCCACCCACCAGGCTAGGAAGGAAACAGGGTGAGATAATAGGCTCATCCTGGTGCCATGAAGTGTCATTCTTACTAAAGGCACCCAGGAAGACCCAGCTGGGCACCAGCTCCAGTGTGGGGCCGGTCTGTGCAGTTCCTCCCGGGACTGCAGGCAGAGCACAGGGATGCTCAGGTACCACAGCCTGGCTGGGGTTCCACCTCAGATCCCATTCATACCTGGAGGCCTCTTGATGCAGGAAAACCTATGCAACAAAGCCTAGAGCAAGCCGGGCGTGATGGTGCACCCCTGCAATCCCAGCACTCGGCAGGCTGAGGCAGGAGGATCCCTGTGAGTTTGAGACCAGCCTGGGCTACACAGTGAGTTCCAGGTCAGTCTCAGCTACATAGTGAGACCCTGGCTCAAACAAACAAAGCCTAGAGCTGGCCTCTCACCCTGATGTGAGGGGAAAGCAGCACATCCAGGGAGTGGCTGCAAAGGCCACCATGAGTCCATTCCTTGCCACGAATGTTTCAGGGTCTCGGGGACTAGAGATCAGTGTTTAGGAAAGCATTGAGAGGGTGGATGATTTAAAAAAAGGCCAGGGATTTAGCTCAGTGGTGCCACCCCCTGCCTCACAAGCACAAGGACTGGAGTTCGATCCCTGGTGCCCCTCCCCCACAACAAAAAAGAAAAGAGAAGCGTTGAGCCCCGCCCTGCATGAGTCAGTGGCTCTCAAAGTGGTCCTGGCCCTCACCTTGGGGGTGGCGGCCGATGGCAGTGACTGGCTTTTGTGTGAACAGCTCTTTTGAGATGGTTCTTTCACTTTTTGCTCCAGGGAGCTTTATTGGGTATGAGCCTCCCCAAACACGTAAACAAATTAAACTGGACATTACTGGGGTAGTCATGTCACCCCCCACATACATAACACCAGAGCCCCTTCCGGGGTAGAAGGAACCCAGGATGCTGGTAACCCAGGGCTCTGGTGAATTCCACCAGTCACAACCACAGGTCACTAATGGCTGCCGAGGGAGGCCTGGCCCAGTCCCTGCTGGACTGTTCGGTGAAGACGGAAGGACAGTTTCCCTGCTTCCTATTTTGGAGCAGTTGACTTGCTCTGTCATTGGGGCGGATGGTGGATTTGAATCCACAACTCTAGAGGAAGTTTGGAACTCATAGTTTTGTGACCAGCAGCTATGACCAGTATAGTCAGCCAGGTAGGCTGAGGCTGCTCCCTAAAGCCACAGGCCATGCAGGGATCCTGTGCTTTCCTTACAGGTGTGGTCAGAGAGTCACATGACTACAATAGAGTCAGCTCAAGCCCTGGCTCCAGCTGATATAAACTGGAGGACCGCACACATTGGTAGACCTCTTAAGCCTGTTTTCTCACCCATAAAATAGGCATCATGATACCAAACTCACGTAGCAAAGCACCCACCTGGTAAATGTGATTTCCCTCTTCCTGGGTTTTAAAATTAGTTACAATCTAGAAAAACCAGCCGTATCAATTGCCAAATGCTATCATTAATTCAGTCAACAAACATTTAATAAGTGCCCATTACATGTCCAGATATTAGTTACAGAGGATGGATCTGGATCTGAGTTTGCAGGTAGGGAATACAACTCTGGTCAAGGTGAGGTGACAAGGCACTTCGTGCTGGATTTTCACCATGAACAGAGGACAATGAGTGTGAGACGAGTCTTTGGGGGTGAAAGCTTGGTTTTTTAATCACTAGATTGAGATCA